AGTGGCAGTCAATCTCAATGTGTTTAGTTCTCTCATGGAACACTGGATTTGACGCAATATGAAAATCAGCTTGATTATCACACACAAGTTCCATCTGGCTGATCTCACCAAATTTCAACTCCTTGAGCAACTGTTGATCCAAATTAGCTCACATGTTGCTATAGCCATTGCTCGATATCCTGCTTTTGCGCTAGACCGAGCGACCACATTCTGTTTCTTGCTCTTCCAAGACACCAAATTACCTCTTACTAAGACACAATATCCAGACGTGGAACGTCTATCAGAAGGTAATCCTGCCCAATCAGCATCTGAGTATCCAACGATCTGCTCATGGCCTCGATCCTCAAACAATAAACCTTTGCCTGGAGCTGATTTTATATACCGAATAATGCGGACAACTGCATCCCAATGACTATCACAAGGAGAATCCATAAACTGACTCACAACACTCACAGGAAAGGAAATGTCAGGCATGTCACTGTGAGGTAATTTAATTTACCAATCAGCCGCCTATATTTTGCAGGATCGCTAAGAGGCTCCCCTTGTCCTGGCAGAAGTTTAGAATTCAGATCCATCGGATTGTCAACAGGTCTACAACCTGTCATTCCTGACTCCTCAAGAATGTCTAAGGCATACTTCCGTTGTAAGATCATAATACCTGAGCTAGATTGAGCGACCTCAAATACCCAGAAAATACTTTAATCTGCTCAGATCCTTAGTCTGAAAGTGCTGAAAGAGATGTTGCTTCGACTTAGTAATATCATCCTGATCATTGCCGGTAATAACAATATCGTCAACATAAACGACCAGATAAATACAGAGATTTGAAGCAGAATACCGATTAAACACAGAGTGATCAACTTCACTACGGGTCATGCCAAACTCCTGGATAATTGTGCTGAACTTACCAAACCAGGCTCGAGGAGACTGTTTTAGACCATTGTGGCCGGAACAAGCGACATACAAGGCCACTAGACTCCCCCTGAGCAACAAAACCAGGTGGTTGCTCCATATAAATTTCATCCTCAAGGTCACCGTGAAGAAAAACATTCTTAATGTCCAACTGATAGAGAGGAATGGCAAACTGCATCCATGGATAGAAAAAGGCGGACTGATGCTATTTTAGCCACGGGGGAGAAAATATCACTGTAATCGAGCCCAAATATCTGAATATATCTTTGGAAACAAGACAGGCCTTAAGTTTATCAACCTGACCACCCGAACCAACTTTGACTGCATAAACCCAACGACACCCAACAGTAGATTTACCTGAAGGAAGAGGAACAAGCTCCCAAGTATCACTCGTATGTAAAATAGATATCTCGTCAATCATAGCATGTCGCCATTCTGGATGAGACACTGCTTCACCTGTAGATTTAGGGATGGAAACAGAGGACAAAGAAGATAAAAAAACATAATGGGATGATGGCAGACGATGATAACTTAAATCAACATAATGGGGATTAGGATTAAGTGTGGTCCTTATACCTTTTCGAAGTGCAATCGATTGACTAGGAGGAGACAAGTCCGCAGTAAGAGCAGGGTCAAGTGCAGGACATGAATCAGCTAGAACTGATGCTGGGCGCGGAGGACGCTGATAAGTCAGAAGTGGTGTTCTTGTGGCTGGGGATCTAGGAGGAGCAACACTAGACTCCTCAATGGTTGGTATGGGTAAGACCTCTATGGGTTAGGGTGTAGGAGGAGCTATAGTAAACTATTCAAAAGTCGGTATAGGTAAGACCTCAGATATATCAAGGTGGTCAGAAGAGGTAAAGTAAGGTCTAGACTCAAAAAATATGACATCAGCTGACATAAGGTACCTACAAAGATCACGTGAGTAACAACGATATCCCTTCTGAACACGAGAATAACCAAGGAAGACACTTAAGAGCACGAGGAGCTAACTTATCTTTTCCAGGGACTAAGTTATGAACAAAACATGTGCTCCCAAAAACACGAGTGAGAAGAGTGTATAAGGTTGATTGGGGAAACAATACTGAATGCAGAATTTGATTCTGGATGGGAGATGAAGGCATCCGATTAATCAAATAACAAGATGTGAGAATTGCATCGCCCCAAAAACGCAACGGAACATGAGACTCGATGAGAAGTGTGCGAGCAATATCAATGAGATGCCTATTCTTTCTCTCAGCTACCCCATTTTGTTGAGATGTGTACGCACAAGATGTTTGATGAATGATTCCATGAGAGTTCATAAACTGTTGAAATGGGAAAGGCAAATACTCTAGGGCATTATCATTACGAAATGTGCGGATCGAAACCCCAAATTGATTTTGAATGTCAGCGTGGAAGGTCTGAAAAATAGAAAACAACTCATATCGATTTTTCATCAAAAATATCCAAGTGCACTTGGAATAATCATTAATGAAACTGACAAAGTAGCGGAATCCCAAGGTAGAACTGACCCGACTAGGACCCCAAACATCTGAATGGACTAAAGTGAAAGGTGACTCCGCTCGATTATCGGGACGCCGAGGGAAATGGGAGCGAGTATGCTTACCGAGCTGACATGACTCGCACTCTAGAGTGGACAAGTGAGATAAACCAGGTACCATTTCATGAAGTTTTGACAAACTTGGATGTCCCAACTGTTTAATGTAATAAATCCGGTGAATCAGTAACATGACAAGTTGTTGAAGGAAGACAAGATGTGAGTCCATGTGATTTAGCAAGGATAAGGTAATAAAGTCCATTTGATTCACGTCCAGTACCAATGATCCGCCCCGTACTGCGTTTCTGTATAAAAACAAGGTCATCAAGAAATAAAACAGCACATTTAAATGATTTGGCTAAGAGACTAACGGCTATGAGATTAAAAGGACTACCGGGAACATAAAGAACTGAATCTAAAGGTAAGGAAGGAAGTGGACTTGCTTGACCTATTGCACTTGCCATGGTTTGAGACCCATTGGCCATTGTGACTGTTGGAAGAGATTCAGAATATGAAATACTAGTGAAAAGAGATTTGTTACCAGAAATATGATCATGCACCTGAATCAATGACCCAAGAGTCGGAAGAAGAAGTCGATTGAGATACACAAGTCACGCTATTACCTGTTTGAGCTACAAAAGCTATCTCAGGAGGTATCTGCTTGCGTGCTTTTAAGCACTTTTCTAGTTTTTGAGATGTTTGGCAATGATAAAAAGTGCTTAAAAGCACTTACTTTTAGGCATGAAAAGTACAAAAATAAGCCAAAAGCCAAAAGTTGGGTATTACCAACTTATGACTTTTGGCTTTTAGCTTATAAGCTACTTTTTAAAAGTCAATCCAAACACCCTCATAATCTGATAAAGATACCATATGAACATTCGAAGTATAGGATCCAACGGTATTTGAGCCAAAAGCATCAGATCTGAGTGACATTATAATGGACTTAAAAGAGATCAAACCCAAATATCTGATGAAGATTACCAACAGTGATGGGATACCCTCAAATCAAGCAATTAGAAACTGGAACCAAACTTTTATAATGATCAGACACTGTTCTAATCACCAAACTAGAGTAAGTTGGTCTGATATTGTTAGTCGAGCTTTAGAGTGCTGAAAAATTTGTGTTGAAGACATTCAGTTGACAGACGCAACTGCTCTGACTTCTCAGATATTCATCGGAAGGAAATTGAAGTCAACAAAATGGTGGAAATTAAATGACTAAGGTCGGAATCAACAGGCGACCTTAGTATGTGAACAAGGTGGCCGAAAAAGTGACCAGAACAGTGACAGACCACTGCTCTCGCCGAAAACACTTTTCCTGTAACTGAAAAACCACAAAATCTCGAAGGGTCGAGTCGGAAAAGGCAGGCGACCAGCCCAGAAGAAAAATCAGACTTGAAAGATGCCAGAAAACGACCTCAACACTCTCGCCGGAACCCTAACTGCCGGAGGCCCGTGACGGCGCGTGCGAAGTTTTCTGCCGGAGATCTTCACTGGGGTTTGGTCGCCGGTGATAGGAGAACCTTGTGGTGGTGTTGGAATTTGCACAAACCCCGCTGAAACTTAGATTGACGTGAACAACTGCTTAGTTAGCGGAAAATTGCACGGTGACGACTGATTTCTTCCCGGATGTCGTTGGAATGACGCACAACGATAATTATCTCACCAATACTTTGATACCATGTGAGAAAGCACGGGAGAAAATATTATTGATTGTTATTCTATGTTATAATGAGCGCTATTTATGTGTATACATAACACATAACCTACTCCTATTGCATAAGGGACTAGGACTAATTACATATATTCACATAACTATTCTAACAATATAGTCCCATAAAAATTATCGTGTCTTTTCAGCTAAATGCAAGTACCTTTTTCATTTTCTCTACTTTTGCTGATTTCTTCAGTTTGTTGAAAACAGAGATGATACTACAATCAGGGAAGGAAATGGATTAATTACATGTGAATCAAACTGTAAAAATTTATGTTATGAGGTTTAATGGAGTGAATCTGTAATACTTATTCATCTGGAGTACAAGGTTTCTAAAGAGATTTCTTCAATCATTCTAATTCTATGCCGTGAAGTATGCATGTCAGTTCACAGACCATATGAACAAAAATGTCATTTGTTTTAATTTGCAAAATCCTTGCATTTTTTCGCTAATTGAAAATGTGCTAATCTCTTTATGTGGTTTAGCTTGGCAACTTTAGTATTCCACAACTGAATACGGATGATCTCTGATAGTGCAGGATCTCTGAGTCATGAAGCTAGGGAGGCATTTCTCTCAGCTTTGTTTTCTGATGGTAAGTGATCTTGCCAGTTTTAATGATCGTGTTGAACCTATTATTGCTATGAGAGTTCACTATACTGCAGAAGGCCAGATCTCTAACTCTGATCCATTTGACAGGTCGTGCAGAATGGATGGATAAAGGTCATAGAAAATGTCTAATCTTATGGCATCGCATCCAGGACTGGGCAGACTTGATTGTAAACTTTGTGAGTATGCAACCTTAAAATAATTGCTGTCTGTTTTTAGTTTAGCATGGTCCTAACCCAACATTCTAGTGGATTGTAGAACCCGGTAGGTTAGGAATGTGTCTGTGTTTGAGGGGACTATACAATGATTAGTTGTTGGATATAGGACTCATTCTAGGGTATGATTAGTTGAGTGGATATAGGACTCATTCTAGGGTATCATACTCAAATATCATATGCTATTATTATACTAACAACAAAGTAGAGATTGTCCAAAAGAGCCTCTTTTACTTCAAACCATGTTTTAAATTGTTTGACAAATGTTTTTGAAATTTTACGGCAGTTGCAGATCCCCATAATCAGGGTGAAGATAGCATATGGTAAACATCTGAACTCGAACTGAAATGATGAAGTGGAGGAAGTTTGGGCAAATGGGAAAACCCCTAATTTCCTTTCCTGATTTTCCATTCTTTAATAGTCTTATACTCCCTGTTAATCCATGTTGCTCATGCTCTCCCACACTCCACCCTTACCACCCCATCTAACTATCTGAGAATAGAACCATTTTGCTTCTCTATGTGTTATTCATTTATATAAAGAGTGGCGCTCCATGGTCCTGTTTATCATCAATCTTCAACAATCCCCGGAAGACTTCTTCCTAGCTTCCATTTTCCTGCTTTCTTGTTCTTAAATTTATCTGAAGTCGCTTTTGCAGTTTGCTCGTTTGAATTGAATTTCTCTAGAGTATTATCCTATAAAAGATACGATTTTAATGTTTAACAATTAGGTTCTTGTTGGGGACTGCTATATACCATATTTGGGGATGGATGCTGTCTGGTTTTGGAGATGTTTGATGAACTATTATTTAACCTTGTTCACACTGTAGTTGTGTTTGCAATGTACTGCCATTCCCCAGCCTTGTCGGATTCCTTATGGAAATATTATTTAGCTAATTAGGTAAAGGAGTATGGGCTGGAGGACAGTGTTATGACAGTTGAAGAAATACGTTCCGGGACAGAGTCCCGTGGAACAGGTAAGATTTGGGTTTTAAAATCTACAATGTATTAGGTAGCACACATTGGTTACTATTTATTGTCTCGGCATTTCACTTGCCTTCTATGCATAAAACATGTTTAGATAGATTGAGAATAGTTGATGGTTTCAATTTTCCCTTGTCTTAAATATATGACCATCTGCTTGTTTCCATCTTGAACTACTCGGTCATAAACATGTAACGGAAATTATAGTGATACATAATCAAACTTTTTTCAGTTTAACATCTCACTATTATGTTTAGTAGTGAATTCCCACACATTTTATGTTATGACAAACTTCACTCATCAACTCGTGGATTGATGGAGATCTTATGTTCTTATCTCTTCTATTTTATTTGCTTCCTTATCATGTCATCTATCTTTGGCATTTTATTGCTCAGAGCTTCATGGAATGGACCGTACAGTTCTTATGCGAGCTTTGAAGCTGCTTGAACATAAGGGGAAGCTTGCGATATTTAAGGGAACTTCAGCTGATGATGAAGGTGTCAAATTTTCTCTGTAAACCACCTTTTGTGTGCAATGAGCGAGAATTGTACTGAGTATTTATGTCATGAATTACTTGGTGGAGCCAAATGGGATGAAATGGACTTCCAACTTCTGAAACTGAATTCTCCGTATTTTTTGAATTTCCATCAGTCATCAAATACTATGGCAAATACTCATTCACACTCGACGACTGGGAATTGGGATAACTCCTTTTTCACTTGTCTTGAGGAAACATGAGATTTTGAAATTCTTAAACGTTTGGCAGGATCACACAAATTTTGAAAGTAGAATTTGCACGAATCCAAATATTGTAATGTCACGACTTGCAATCTTCTAAGTATGTCATATATATGAGTTGTTGATGCGTTATTCTATATGTAAACCAAGCCGCCAACAGTGGATCCATTTATTACTTTTCTATCCAGGCTTTGCAAGTACCATTTTCATGAAAATCCAAGACCTATATATATACTTGCAGGCTGAAAATACCAAGTAGGATGACATAAATATTGCAATACATCTCTTCATAAAGAAGCAGCCTATCTCATACCAGCCACTACATTGTGATTTCACAGTTTAACTAAAGAACAACCTTATTAATCTAATGAATTAAATAAAACCAATGAAAAGAGGTACACGTAATATGCCATGAGGAAAGACTTTCAGGTTGTATCTCCATATACTGAACAAAGACTTTCTCATGCATAAGATGGAGCAAGGCATTCATCAACCATGTCGACAAGGTTAGGGTTTTCCAATGCTGCAGCTACCCGCTCTTTATCATTCAACTGCTTATTTACTGCAGAGAGAAAATAAATGATCAGTTGCTGAATATATAGCAATTGCACACTACTCCTAAAAAAGCTCTCTAGTGCTAATGCTTTATGATTAAAAAAAAAAAAGAAGAAGAAACTTGTATGGTTTTCTCTTTTCCGTCTCTTTTCTTCTGGGATATGTTATAAACTTTTTGATAGTTACTCAGGGATATGTTATAACTTTATGTTAACAAAAAGGCCGAACACCATATACGAAATAAAAGAAAAACCAAAATCAGCTCTATGCCCATGTGGTATGNCGGTATGTTAAAGAGGGCAAATATAATAAGCACAGTTTGTGAGCATCGCCGGAGCAAATAGGGCCTGACAAATGCAGGCCTGGCACGTTCAAATGGAAGAAGTCCAGCATAGTGACAACTAGAGAATTGGAGCTTAAGATTGTTGTGGGTAGTGGCGGTTAGAGGAAAATGGTAGCTAAAGATTGGATGTTCTGTGACAGATATTGACAGA